ATATAGCAGAGTCTACATCTCTGCTCACATCACTTCAACATTAGCCAGGAGCCATCTGTACAATTTTAAAACATGCTCAAGGCTGCTTTTGCTGTTCCTACTTTCTTTTAGTGGCTCACTACTAAAGCAATGTAAGCTCCAGCTTACAGCTGTGGCACAGTACTAAAGCAATGTGATTGTCTGCCCCTGGGCTTGTACTGTTAAAGTACATCTAAAGCCCTTTATGGAAGAAAAAAAACTTTGGATAAAGTGTGTAAAGTTTAGAACTTCTAAACGTATTTGTAGTTGTCCTCACTGGGAAGATCACTCTTCTGTCTTGGGGACCATGGTCAACTGGACTGATGGGGAAAATCAAATATTGGTTCCAAAGAGTAAAGAATTATCCTTGCTCTGGAGTAATCTCCGTTTACATTTTTAGCTTGAGATGGAAAGTAAAGGAAAATCATACCAATGGGACATGGTAAGCCACAAATACCTTCTCTTTTCTATCCAAAAGCAAAACAAAATTTGGTCTTTAGATCCATTGTAAAGGACAAGACTGCAGCAGCTACCTTTACCTGTTTGTTGCACTCTTCCATACACTAGGAAACCTATTTGCTTGTCCGTAGAACAAAATTGTAACTTCCCAGGTATTAGTTTTTTTTTTCTTCCCTATCTACCTCTGAAGTCTAAGTTTTTAAAATACCTAGGTAATCCCATTAACTGTTAGAATGCTAGTTTCACTTACTGTAACATACTCCAGATTTCTACTGCTTGTGCAAAACCATAGGCACATTTTCAAGCATTCTTCCCGTCCATTTATTGAGCAAGGATGTGAAATGATAGCAGTTTAAGAGCAGAAAAGCCCATGCAGCTGTTATAATCCAGGCAAGTAACTTTGACATTTTTCTTTCATCCCACTCCAAATCTCTTGAAAATGGTTTTTTATCTGATTTCTTATAATGATGCAGGTTGTACCATTACAGAGGCTACTATAAGGTGGGTAATGTTGCGTGCAACCACTTACATGCTTGTTAACCATTACTTTGGTTTCCAATCCTCACACTTTAATTCATTATAGCGTTTCCATCCTGTTCATTTTCATTTATGCAAAAATGTTGTTTTCATGGGTTAACAAGTGTTAGGCTTGTTTATCTTGCAAGCAGTTTTATAATTAAAAATCTGTTTTTCTATCCTGTAAAAGTAGTTGGAGATTTCAGAGATTTCTCATATACAGTAGCACTCTTCAAGAAACAAGGATTCTTTAGTTTGTATTCAAAGCGTTAGAGGCAGTGTTAAGTTTCTAAATTAAGGTTCAGTGATGAAAAGGTCAAACTGGAGCAAATAAAAAAAAATATTTACAGAAAAAAGATGTTACAAAGAAACCATAAAGCAACAGAAAAATAAAAACTTGAAAATGGAAAATACTTTCCAAGTCCTTGGTTTTAGCAGCGTTCAATCAAGGTGTGTTACTGGCTCTCATAACTTGACAGGTGTTCCTTTTTTGATGGTAAAACGAGAGCATGCCCACAGATCCTGCCTTTTTCTGTCGTATCAAAGGGTTGTTGACAGAGACCATCTGACCAATCCAGTGTAAGGTATGGGTGCTGGGAGGTCACCGTGTTTATGGCCAATTCCCAAATAGTTTTCTAGAAGTGTTCATATTTCTGAATACCTACCATTTAGTCTGCTACCATGCAACCGTTTTATTAGGGTTTTCAGACTGGAATTGTGGATTGGGTATTGGAGAGGTCTATGTGCCTGCTCAATGGAAGGACAACAAGGTCCTGGCATCCGTTAACAGTTTGTGTATTGTATCAGAGGCTTCCTGGGGGATGAAGAGAAGGAACCCACTGCTGCTGTTCACAAACTTGTGCTACAAACTGTAATTTCTGAATCTTAACATGGCGTCCTTGCTCTTCCACACAGCTTTGTGAGGGCTCAGTATGTGTTACCATTACACTTACTGTATAGGGCAAACTAATGTGTTCAAAATCAGGCATGCATTTTTCTGAATGCACAGTCATGCATTGTGCACAACGCAGGTGTGTTGCTGCTATTTTAAATTGATAGCAATGCATGCAATGCACTTTGTAGTTGAGCAGAAGTACAGTTGTGTTCAAAATAGCAGTCAGACATCACTAACCTGATCAATCACTGTTTTTGGTAGAAATTATATTTCTACATGGCAAATAATTTACTAGCAGGTGTAGTAGAGTAATAGAAATCCAATAGACCAACAGTCATGACATGCATGCTGCTGATTCTGTGTAATTGAATCACTAATTGAAAGGGGCATGTTCAAAATAATAGCAGTGTGGAGTTCTATTAGTGAGGTCATTCATTCTTTGAAAAACAGGTGGCAATTATTGCCCTTATTTAAGGAAGGAAGGCAGCAAATGTTGTTCATGCTGGTTACAGTGCATTTCTCTCTGAAATTCTGAGGAAAATGGGTCGTTCCAGACATTGTTCAGAAGAACAGCGTACCTTGAATAAAAAGTTGATTGGAGAGGGGAAAACATATAAAGAAGTGCAGAAAATGATAAGCTGCTCAGCTAAAATGATCGCAAATGCTTTAAAATGGCAACCAAAACCTGAAAGATGTGGAAGAAAGCGAAAAACTACCATTCGAATGGATAGAAGAATAGCCAAAATGGCAAGGACTCAGCCAACAATCAGCTCCAGGAAGATCAAAGAAGGTCTAAAGTTACCTGTGAGTACTGTTACAATTAGAAGACGCCTATGTGAAGCCAAGCTATCTGCAAGAAGCCCCCGCAAAGTCCCACTGTTGAAAAAAAGACATGCTGAAGAGGTTACAACTTGCCAAAGAGCACATTGACTGGACTAAAGAGAAATGGCGCAACATTTTGTGGACTGATGAAAGTAAGATTGTTCTTTTTGGGTCTAGTGCCGGAGACAGTTTGTCAGATGACCCCCCAAACGCTGAATTCAAGCCACAGTACACTGTGAAGACAGTGAAGCATGGTTGCGCAAGCATCATGATATGGGGATGTTTCTCATACTACGGTGTTGGGCCTATTTCTCGCATACCAGGGATCATGGATCAGTTTGAATACATCAGAATACTTGAAGAGGTCATGCTGCCTTATGCCGAAAGAAGAAATGCCCTTGAAATGGGTGTTCCAACAAGACAACCACCCGAAACACACCAGTAAATGGGCAACATCTTGGTTCCAGACCAACAAGATTGACGTTATGGGTGGCCAGCCCAATCATCGGATCTTAAGCCAATAAAAAACTTGTGGGGTGACATCAAAAATACAGTTTCTGAGGCAAAACCAAGAAATGGAAAAGAACTGTAGAATGTAGTCCAATCATCCTGGGCTGGAATTACCTGTTCACAGGTGCCAGAAGTTGGTTGACTCCATGCAACAGAGATGTACAGCAGTTCTTAGAAACAATGCTTATACAACTAAATATTAAGTGATTCAAAGGAAAGCAAAATCTTGAAACATGTTTCAGTTTATATAGTGAATGTTTGAGTTTGTAAAGAAGAATACAAACACTGCTATTTTTTTGAACAGTCTAATATTCACTTTTCTTCAATTTTTTTAGAGGAACAACACAAATTTGATATTTTTCTTCATGTTTTGAATTGGAATAGAATGTGTAGTGTTCCCAATGCATTTGTGTGTATGGAAATAAAAGCTATTAGAAGGATTTTGAGCTTTATTCACTTTTTTCAACACACTGCCTTTATTTTGAACACAACTGTATAATGTACAATTTTTAGTTAGTCCAATTTGCCAAAATAATTTCTTGTCGTTGTGAAATTAAAGCTGTTCTCTAGTCTCTCCCCAAAAATTTGTCAGCAGCTGCAAATTCTGAGATGAGCTCCTTCCCTGCCTGCACTCTTAGCGGCTGACAACAGACGTGGACCTACCAGAACCTTGAGTGGCACCCTTAGTTTTTATGAGTTCACAGTTTCATCAGGAAGTTATGAATATGAATTAAAATGGGGTCTAGCAATAAAAGTCTTGGAATATGTAGAATGTTTAGCGTTTAACCTACACTAGTTATCTGGAACTTTAAATTGTTACTAAACCCAGGACCCTGCATTCACTATATCTGGTCTCCCACAGTACACACAACATGGAAATGCAATTATTTTAGTAAATATAAACTGCTAAATACCTTTTCTCATCAGCAGTTAGAGCAGTCTTGTGACTTCAGCAGAGCACTGGTTAAAGCTTGTAGGAGGAGTTTTTTTCCACTCTAGGAGGATGTGAAACCCTTGACCCTCTGTCTGGACAGTGCTGATTGGCCCTGTGCTGATCACATGCACCCTCCCAAGAACAAAAAAAAACTCCTCTCTAGCAATACACACCAAACTGAGCATGTGCATGTGATTACGGATTCAGTCTGTAGCAGGTGGACATTTCCGCAAGAGGGGCAGAGAAATCAGGATCAAACAGCCTTTTTATACAATGCAGAGGATTAACCCCTTAGGTTCCACAGTGAGTATAACCAGCATGCTTTACTGCATATACAGACTGATTTTACTGTTGTGGGTTTAGTAACACTTTAACCACCTCCCGCCCGCCATATAGTACAATGAGGGGTGCAAGGCGGTTCTCTCGTTCTGGGAGGACGTCTAACCGTCCATGCGTGGCTGTGGGAGTGTGCAGCACGGCGATCAGCGGTGTGCTGTGTCCCTCGGACACAGCGGATCAACGGAAAGAGCCAAAGATGTCGGCTCGGTCATGTGATCAACTGTGACCAATCACAGCTGATCGCATGTAAATAGGGAAATGCCATTTATCAGCATTTCTCTCCTCATGAGCTGTCACACTGACAGCTCGAGAGGAGAGGAGAGCCGGTAATCTGCATTCCTCAGAGGGGACATGTACACTGATCATCAGGGCACTGATGATCACTGTGCCCTGATGATCTGTGTAGCCCCAGCAGTGCCACCTGTCGGTGCCCATCCATGCCACCTGCCAGTGCCCATTAGTGCCTACCAGTACACATCAATACCACATATCGGTGCCCATCTGAGCTGCCTTTCAGTGTCACCCGTCAGTGCCACCTATCATGCCAGTCAGTCCCGCCTATCAGTGCCATATGAGTGCTGCCTCTCAGTGCCCATCAGTGATGCCCATCAGTACCACCTACCAGTGCCTCATCAGTGCCACCTATCAGTGTCCATCAGTGCAGCCTATCAGTGCCCATTACTGCAGCCTCATTAACGCACATCAGTGAAGGAGAAAAATCACGTATTTACAAAATTTTATAACAAAAACTAAGAAAAAAGTTTTTTTTTTCAAAATTTTCAGTGGTTTTTGATTTGTTTAAGAAAAAATAAAAAACCCAGAGGTGATTAAATACCACCAAAATAAAGCTTTCTGTCACAAAAAAAAAATTATAAAAAATGTCATATGGGTACAGTGTTGCATGACCGCGCAATTGTCATTCAAATTGCAACAGCACTGAAAGCTGGAAATTGGCCTGGGCAGGAAGGGGGTAAAAGTGCCCTGTAGGCTAGTGGTTAAAGCAGAGTTCCACCTGAAAAAAGTCAGCTACAAAAACTGTAGCTGCTTACTTTTCAAATACAGACACTTACCTGTCCCTCGGTCCAGCGGTGTCCTCACCACTGCTGTTTTCACCGGCTGTCTTCTCTCCCTGGCGCCAGCATTTTCAGTGTGGGCACCCGGCTGTGACAGCGTGCGACTTCACAGCCGGGTGCCCACTGCGCATGAGCGAGAATCACTGCGCTTTTTTGTGAATGGCCCCGTAGTCTTCTGGGACCTGTCGCCTAGGCGATTGCAGCGGAAGTGGCAGCCGGTACCTGTCAAATTCGGGTAACTGCTCCCCCCCATTCTCCAAAGGTGCCAATCCTTAATGAGGAGCAGGGGACAAAGGCTTAAAGCGGAACTTCCCCTTTTGGGTGAAGCTCCGCTTTAAGTTGTTTTAATAACTTGCAGCTTTGGTTAATCCTTTTTTGAAGAGGGAAAAAAAACTGTAGATAAAATGTATACAAATAGGACAACTTACTGAATAAGCACACTAGAATTCTGATTTTAATACAAAGAATTGCAACGTTATTTACGTAACAGTGCTGATTTTCTTGAAGCTTCTTCAGTCACCTTAGCAGCGGTAGATTCAGGACAATCTTGGACAGCTCTTAATTTGACCAAGCAGTTAGTGTATGATTTTAGTTCATTATTTATACTAGTATTCTTGCTGTGAAAGTTCTGCATTGGCAGTGACTACCTGTCTGTACTATAGTTTCACATAAGACTCTGCCTACCTTTTGAACTTGAAGAAGCTGTTTAAGTCTCAAGGAAATCCTGCTAATATTTCGCCAAACGTGAACAGCATGTTGTAGATGTATAAATAAAAATGAGGAATGTTCTGTATTTGGTGTATTTAACACAGAGGACTTCTAACAATCTAACATCATACAGGACACAGGATTAGTATTCATAAACCCTGGGTTATAGACTTGTGCATTCAGGTTCCTGGCAAAGCTTTTGAGGACTCCCTGAGTTTCCCTTATAACCCTACTCCTCTTATTAGTCCTCAGTTTACTGTTTGTGTCCTAAGGTGGTGGACCTTTTACTCCCTTATGGGTTAATCACTCTTGGCTTAACTAGTTTTTTTAATCTTCTGATAAACTGTTTTCCAATACCACAGTAGAAGCAGTGAATCCATTGGTGCAACCTCAATAATATCTTGGGAGCAGTACCATGACCCTCTGCCATGGGGGTGGCCTGTAAAGTTGCTTTGGGTATTGGATCTTGCATGGGCACTAACCTCAATACTTTGTGCAATGCTGATGGGTGTTGTACAGGCCCAGGGCCGTGATCCATCCTTGTGGAGCCCAGACTCTGAAAGCCTATTTTGGGGGTATGCTCATCATGATGGGCAAAGTCTTGATCCTATTTAGGGGTCAGCTTTGTAAACAGGCAAGATACGGTCACCCTATATCTGACACTGTAAAACTGGGGCTATGTGTGGAATGTATTTGTTTTAGTGTAAAGTATGCAGTGTACCTACTACAGTGATTCAAGCTTATAAGAGGATCCCACAGTTATGGCGCCAACGTAACTATGCATACATTTGTGTACTTAAACTTTAGCTTCCAGTTTAAGGGATTTTCTTTAAGGGTTTCTTCTTTCATCACTGGTGTGCTTTTATCCCTTTCACCACCAGGTCTTTTAGACCCTGCATGTCTCAGAGAACCTGTCACCTCAAAATCATCACATATGGGACTTTGTGCCCCCCCTCCCCCACACACATACGCAGGTAAGAACGTAAACGCACACGTCAGGACGCCTACGCGTGAAACTGTCAATACACATGTTTCATATCGCTGCGCATGCTGGAGTGAGAGCAATAATTCTAGCACAATACCTCCTCCGTAATGCTAAATGGATGACTTATAGGGGGTTTTGAAGCCTATAGAAACTATAGGGTACTGAAGTTTGTCACAATTTCATAGATACATACATTTAAGGTTTGACATCTATTTACTCAGCAAAACCTTGTCTCTTTATATTTTACCAAAAATATGGTTAATCTTTTGAGTTTGTTTGCCCTAAAATTCACTTATGGTTTTTTTTTTTTAAACTGAAATGTTAGGGTTTTTTTTTTAGACCTTTTTGTTGTGATATCAAATGACATAAAACATTGGAACTACCACTATTTCATTCTATAGGGTGTTTTCTTTCAGAAAATATATTATATTTTGGGGGCTTTGTGTAATCTTCAGGCCTAAACTTATTTTTTTTTTTACATGTGTTAAAAAAAAAAGGCAAAAAAAAACGGTTCTGGCAGCTATAGCAGAATTGTTTTTATAGGATCTGAACTCTAGAAGCTGTGCCCAAAAAGGCAAGCAGAAGGCAAACACTAGACTATCGTATTGCTTTTAAACTAATATCCGCTGACCTTTTCCCCATTACTGGAATATGCTGTGCCTTGCCCTGTTCTGCATGGTTTATTGTGGGGTAGTTATCCTGGTAGAGGAATAATGCTTTGGCTTCATGTCAGAGCAGGTTGGTGGAAATAATTCAAAATGTAGGTGGTTCTCATGGCACAGATCTGCAGAATGACAGAAGCAGGGAGCAACATGTAGTGCAGGTTCTTCTATAGAAATCATCAAATTTCACCCCAAGTCTTGTGAGGCAAATACTCTATAGTGTGTATATGCCCTGCTGCATAATTACTTCAGCATCTCCCGGTAACAGGTGCTCCTGCCATGACATAGCAGGTGCCACCAGGTAGAAGGAAAGGGAGCAAATCGGGGACACGTCCACTCTACTCCTCCTCCTTCTCGCCACTGATCTGGAAGCAACAGGTAAAATGTCACTATCGGGTCCCCATGTTAGTGTCCCCGCTATGGCCAGGAAATAATCTAATGTAGTGCAAGGGAGACATTCAGGGTCTTTTATACCTTGGATGTCTCATTAAAGAGAACGTCACCAAAAAATCATCACACAGGGAACGTTGAAGAAAACAAATTGTGGTTTTCCCTCCCCCACCCCCACATATATGCACGTACAAACATAAATGCATGCATCGAGGGTGCCTTTGCACGAAATTGCATGCTTGGTGATATGTAACGTGTATCGCAATCAACAGAGAAGGAGAGCAATAATTCAAGCACTAGACCATCTCTAACTCAAAACTGATGAGCTATAGGGGGCTTTTAATGCATAGTGTATGGAAAATATAGGGTACTGAAGTCTGTCAACATTTCACAGCTGCACGCAAGTTTAAGGTTTGATATGTTTGTTATCTATTTACTCAGTAAAACATCATCTTTTATATTTTACCAGAAAATGTGGTTCATTGCAATTGTGTGGCTTAAAATAAATTTTATTGTATTTTTTACTGTGTTTGCGTTTCCTATAATTTTGCAGTAATATTGTGTGACATTAAACATGATGAATCTATGGGACAGTAAGTGAATGAAAACCTCCCCAATGGAGCACGGTTGGCTTTTTCCCTTCCCCTAGAGTCTGTTCAGAGATGTTAGGATGTGCCTAGGCAGCCTTGCCCAGTGCAATAAAAGCAAAAAGCCCTGTTTCCTATCATGGCAGTTTTGTGTTGCGTTATTATGCTTTATTTTAATCCACTGCATTGCACTGTGCTAAGACCAATACAACTGGACTAAATGTCTTTAAAACTGTGCAATGTTTACAGCACATTGACATCGTTGCCCTTACCTTGCACACCAGTGCATGTGCAGTAGTGCATGCTCCTGGTGTGAACAAGCCATTACTGTTAAAAATTAAGAGTTTTGGTTTTAGTAACGTAATGTGTAATTTTAGGCTATCTTGCACATTTACAGAAAATGTTGTAGTTTTTTCTTTCTTTTGTGGCTCATATATTTTTTTTATTACAGGTTGTACAAGTGCTGAATGCAGATGCAATAGTGGTGAAGCTGAACTCTGGTGATTACAAAACCATTCATCTCTCTAGTATTAGACCTCCAAGGCTGGAAGGAGAAGGATCTCAGGTAAGAGTTGAATTAGTCAATTTAGCATACACTTGCATACCAGTGAGAGATGAGTGTATTTTTGTGGTTTTACAAAATGTGTACATGTGCCAGTAAGTATTAAGTGTTTTTTTTATATCATTTAATGGACCATCTGATAAAGCCAAAGACTCAAACATTATGCATAGTGCAGCACACCTGGATGAGGCAAACGAGTTATAATATGCATGAAGACATTGAACCAATGGTTTTAATCGTTCGTTTGCCACTAGTGTGTATAACATACACTATTTCACAGTGCTAGCCAGACATGTAATCAGTTTTCAATTGCTGAAAAAAATGGATTATAACCTACCATCATTTTATAACTACGTGGCAGAATGGTAGGTAGGTTGCCATGAGCAGTAATTCATTTTGGTAAAGTATTTGAAATGGCTAGAGAATTGGCATAAGTATGTATGAGTAAAAAAAAAAGTGTGGGGTGAGGCAATTTTTCCCCCTGCTTGGGAATCTTGTAAGGCCTATTCTGCTACCAGTGTTGAAGTTTTGACCATATATTCCTCCTTTTTCAAGTCTAGAACATAATGGATACTTTGTTTGAGTGATTCAAATAGCAAATTAAAGTTAAATAAAAACAAAGAAATATCCTTATTTCTAAAGAATAGATGGTTGTGCTCTAACAAGTTTATTTTATCTACTGTGCTTCCATCATAGGCTTAGTTCTGTAATGTTTTTCTTTATGACAGGTGCAAGTTTTCAATCAATTTAATGCATACATGGAGGTTTAGTATGAATTAAATTAAAATAAATTATCACGTCACT